GGCGGGGGGGGGGGGGGGGGGGGGGGTGTCCACTGGTGTCCACTTTAGACACTTTAGAATGTCTAAAGTGGACTATCGAAATAAAGTGTAACCATTGCTAGTAAATTTCACAAATAAAAACAAAGGTATGGCAAATAACTGAATTAAATGCAAAATTTTGAAGTAAACTGAAAAATGTTGGTGTATAAACCATTTTCACTCAGAAATTGCTAGTAAATTTCACAAACAATTACAAAGAAACGGCAAGTAGCATTGAATAAAATGTGATTTTTTTTAAGTAGAAAGACTAAAATAGTATTTTTTTAAATGTACTTCAGCTATCTTTATTTACAACTTTTAAAAAAATACTTTTTTTACAGTGTAGAAAGACTGAAATAATATTTTTTTTGTTTTGTTTACAATTTTTTTTTAGAATTTTGGAATTAAAACAGCACGAGGGTGAGTAAATAATGACAGCATTTTCTATTCTATTCTATTCTATTTCCATTTTTATTTTCGGTTAACTATCCCTTCATGCCTGTGCAATCCATTTCAGTTGTGTATTTCCCTGATTTTGAATGCACACATTAAAAAGTCTCAGTCATGGGGCAATACTTTCTCTTTTTTCCTCCGTCATGGATCAGAGAAGAAAAGTGCTCTTATCTGCTTCTGTAGCCTCTGTGATTTCTGAGAACACTAAGGGCACGGGAGGATGGAAGAACGGACTCCTAACTGAATTTTCTAATTGCTCTCATCTGCAGAGCGGCCCCCTCCATTAGCAGTGATGCATCCTGGGGGAGAACCTCCCTCTGTGGCCATCCTGCCTCTCAGAAACACCCACCACCAGCAGCAGCATCACAGGAGGAGAACCAAGAGGATGGAGAGGGGCAAACCGGGACTGCGCTCCAAGAAACTGGCCATCCTGTCACGGTCGCTCATCATCTGCAGCTCCAGCACCAATGAGGACGCGTCCAGCCCAGAAGAGAGGTACCATGAGCCCTGGGACGCCGAGTTGGAGGAGAAACACCGCAGGGACCCGCAGGAAGGGCCGATGGGAAATTCGGAAAAGTGCATGACGAGGAGCGTCAGCGTCCAGGCGCCTCAAAGGGGCCAAGAGGGCCCCAAAAGTACTATGAGGAGGTCCTTCTCCATCAAGGTATGTGTTACTGATGACATCACAGCAGCTGGGTTTTCCTATTGGTTGCATCTGATGACATCACAGAAGTGCGCTGCACCGATAGAATGAACTTCTGTCAGATTTAGAAAGACCTGCATTTAAGTTTCTATCACTCTTTTTCCAAATGTGAATATTTCTTGGTAGCTATAGATGTTTTAACACTTACATTTATGCATTTAGCAGACTTGAAAAGTAGTGAAACCTCTTTATAGCTCAGGTGTTGCATTGGATTGCATAGAAGAAAACTTATGTGTCTGCCAGTCACTGAAGTGTTCATATATTAGTAAGGCGAGTTTGTTTATTATGAAGCACATTGCAAAACAAAGAAAAGGGCAAAAGGAAAGAAAATTAAATTGATTAAATAGATGATGCCGCAATAATAACAGTGCAATAAAAAGTAATTTAATGTATGTTGTATCACATTCTGTGAGTAAGTTGTGCAGAACAAATATAACATATATATTGCATATATTTGTTTACATATGATATATTTATATAATATAATTATGTTTCAATCTATTGTTTAATACACACACACACACACACACACACACACACAATAAAGTTTAAAAATGTAACAATTTTATACAAATTAAAACTTTACACAGTATGCTCATATGACAGACTGTGTAAATTAATCTATGTAAAATCTAAAAGTAATTATGTAAGACCAGAACAACAAACATTGTAAAAACAACACTGAATTAAACTGAGCTGAATAATGCCGCTTACAATATTAACACTATTTTCCAGTTTATTAATGTGAAACTGCTTTGAAACAATCTGTATCACATACTGTATCACAAGTGCTATAGAAATAAATGTGGCTTGACTTGACAAGAACAAAATAGATATTAATTGGTTAAGAAAATGACCATGGACAAAATAGGAGACGTTCACCTATAAACCTTTCAGAAATTGTCTCATGATGATGATATCTGAGCATGCCAGAGTATTTCTCAAAAGTTTTCCATGCAATGTTAAATCTGGCTTGCCTGCCTGGATCACAGGGATGTCTCCTGCTGAAATGAATCATTATCACATGGCTGGTGTGTTGGGAGATTCTGTGGTTCTGCCCAACGCATTACTCCTGCACAAAAGAGAGCTTGTTGTGATACAGAGAGACACAGAACGCAGCTCTTATACAGCTCACATAGGACATTCCTGTGAAGTCTTAAAGCATAACATCCTGATAAAACACCCCGTGACCTTTGCACAACATTGTAACAACATTTACTTTGTAATGGCACTGCTGGGACTTTATGAATAAGAGATATGCTATGTTCAGAAAGGAATGATATAGCCAGATGATTGACTTGCGGCATATAACCTATTCTGGGCAAGATCAGCCAACTTAGACAAGAAACAAAATGCCTGACTGACAAGTAAAATAACCAACCACTGTTCATTTCGTTTTATGAACTGAATCCGTCTTCTGTTGCACTCCTAAACGGTCAAATAGGCCTACACACAGCCACAGCCTCACTGGGTGTAAATATAGAATTGGGTGGGAGGGAGCATTTCATTTTCACACACTTTTTATAATCTGAAAAACTGACACCAAAACAATAACAACCCATATTATAACTGAAATAAACCAAGTTCTATATTAAAACAGATCAACCTAGAACAATTTAGATGAGCAGTGTAGTCAGTCACAGACATATCTGTTGATTTCTTAAACGCAATGGCCAATCAGAGGCGTTAATTACAATCCACTCACCGCTCAAAAGGCTTTTTTTTTTTGTACACGCTCGTGAATCCATTCATTATAACTAGGGATGTAAAGATTCACTCAACTCGCATTGCGATACGATTCACAATACTGATTTCATGATATGATTTTCTCACGATTTTTTTTTTTTTTTTAACAAAATGAGATTTAAGACAAATTATAAATTAAAAGATGTCATTTTATTATTGCTTGGACAAAATTACCGAACATTTCTTTGTAAAATTGAAGTAAACGCCAAATCAAATAAATAAATAACACAAAATAAAATAAATCTCTTCATATAAACTGTAACGGGGCTGACGAGACGTGAGACGTGTGGCTCCATCTGCAAGCTTTTATTTCAGAGACGTGGTCATAACAGGCAAGGTCGAACAAAGGCAAACAAGTATGTGGCGGGCAAAACACAAGAATAGTCCTAGGGCTAGCGTAGGTCAACGATCGGCAGACAGAATCACAGGGGCGAGACGAGAGGGATAAATCCTGGAAAACAGGCAAGGCAAGGCAAAACAAGGAAACACAGAGACTCGGAACAGGGTACAGGCTAAACAATACTCAGCAGAGAATGGTAGTTTGAGTGAGTGTGATATAGTGAGTGAGTGATATGACACAGCTGTGCAATCAGTGCTGTGTGCAATCAGTGTAACAGCTGTGTGTGATGGGATATGTAGTCAGGGGTGATATGCAACAGTTTGTGTAGTGCGAGAGTCAATGTAATGAAAGGTTGACCTCTGGTGGTGATTGAACGGAAGACCATTGACAGGATTCGTGACATAAACAAACTAAGGCTTTGCCTTTGCTCTTTCCATTCAGTTAAAGGCAACCACTGGATTTTAATCACGATCCAAACAAAGATGCTGCGTACATGCTGCATAAGCAGTTTGTAATCTAAATTAGATTGCATAATTCCGAAATCTGAAGCAGAATGGTCTGACTTGAACTTTGTGAAATTATGCTACATAAAATATCTGCACGAAACAAAAACAGCAGACATGCTTAATGAGATGCAGATTCACTCTCTGACAGCAGGTGGCGCTTATGGAACAGCAGCGATGCAGCGTTTCCTTGGTTACCGCTGTAAACAAAGCATTATGAACACTGCTTTAATATGCATTATACAGAGTCAAGATGAAAAGAAAATATTATCTAAACTTTTCTGAAGACAGTCAGTTCCCCTCAGAGATGCATTCATATAAATCCCCAAATGTACCGCGGTTCGTTTAATATCTCAACCGATTTGAATCATCACATATTTGTATCGATTTTTTTTATGTATTTATTTATTTTTATAATATTTTATAATTTTTAAGTGTGGCTCTTTTGGAAAAAAATACATTAACCAAAAATGAAAACAAACAAAACAAATAAGTGAAAAATAAATAAAATATAAAAGGCTCTATGCTCAAAAAAAAGAAGAAGAAAAAAAGGTTCCTGACCCCTGCTGTATGGTATTTTAAAAATCTATATCTATAGATATATCTATATGTATGGATAAATCTATATCTATATATATCTATATATATATCTATATATATATATATATATATATATATATATAT